CTGTCTGAAGCTAGGAGCTTCTTCCAGGTCTCCCACACTTGTGCAGGGTCCCAAGTCTTATGGGCCTCGCTTGACTGCTTTCCCAGGCTGTAAGCAGGGAGAGGGATTGAAAGTGGAGCAGCCAGGACACAAACCAGTGCCGATATAGATGGAATCCCAGTGCTTTCAACATGAGGATTTAGCCATTGAGTCATTACACCAGGCCCCATCACTTTTCTGTGCCCACAAATTACATTGGCTTACATTCCAATATTGAGACTATATCACCTTTTCTTACCTTGTTTTTGCTTTTTACCCATTATGTTGTATAACGATGTAGCAAATCATTTTTTGAGACATTCCAGCCCTACTCCTTGGTAGGAATAGCCTCATGTCATGATACCTCCCTTCTTTTCTAAACTGAAAAAAAAATTTTCTCCACACTAGCCTGACTGTACAAGTCAATTGGAATTGGAAACTGGTATGACGAAGGGACAATAAAGAACGAGAAAGGAACGCTGAGGTTTCATATCCCAGGACTTACATATTGTCTGATAATAAATGAGATTTCAATTTGATTGTCGCACAGCTCTCAGGTCCGCAAAGTCAGCAGGATCTCCAGATTAGCATCCTTTATTCAGGACAGGGAATACGATATACAATGCAATAAACAGGTTGAAAGACTTCCAAAGGTAAGTCAACAAAATGAAAAACAGTAGTCCTTCTAAATTCCAAAGTGATTTTAATGCCAAAAAAATTTGATAACAAATGATGAATGATTTTACAGGAAATTTCTACAAGAGATAACCTCTAACATTTATATTCAACCTTATATTACTGAGCACGTTTTATCTATCAAGTTCCACACTAGGCATTAAGGCTGCAGACCAAGTGCTTACACTCAGAGGGCTTCCAGTCTACTGGGAAAGATGCAAGACATGACCCAAACAGATACATTCATTCAAAGACAGGGAATGCATGGTCCTTAAACAGGGGATCCCTGAGCAAATGAGGTTTGATCTGACATCAATCCTTGAGAAATATTTTCTTGTATGGATCATAACCTACTTATTTGTTATGATACAAAAATGTGGTTTCTCATGAATATCATAGAGCCCATTTGGACTTTCGTTGAATGCACATTTGCATATATTTAAAACTTCTCTGGCACCAGAAAAATGTTTCCATTTTGTACAAACTTTCAATAGTTTCCTGCACATGCTCACCTGGGTGATATTAAAAACTTCCAATAACAGGTAAGGCAGAGGACAGATCAGTTAGAACAGAAGCCAAGCACCTGCTGTGCTTTCGGTACCTTTCAGTAACCTTCAGCTCACCACTTAAGCGGAGATTGGGTGTTCTGTGATAGGGGCTCAGGTGGAAGGAAGCCCCTAGGCGACTCAAGACTCCCACTACCTACCAACCATCTTAGTTTACTAGTATTTTGTTTCAGTATAAATTATGCAAAGTTTTATGGGCTTTTTAAAGTTGATAAATGGGATTTGTAAATATTTATGATATATAACACGGCATTTGGATATATGTACCTGTAAAATAGAATGGCTGGAGCTCATTAGTATATCCATGACCTCACATGCTTGTCATCTCTTTTTCTCTTTGGTGAGAACACTTCATGTCTATCTCAGCAATTCTCAAGCAAACAATCCTTCATTCTTAGCTACCACTCTGACACTCGACTCATCCCCTCGGCCATCTGGCTAAACCAGCACTCCTGTGCAAACCTGGCTTCTCCACCAAAATAGTCGGGATCAGAATTCCAGCTGATTCCCTCAAGTGCTGTGTTACCTCAGAAAGTCTCATAAAAACCCATAAGAAAAAGTGAACTCATGTAATGATATGAAGTTGCTGGTTTTAGAATGCATTTGGTTTAAAGTATTGAGAATGAGCACTTACCACATAGTTCTAGCCATAAAGTAGGGCAGCACCTGAAGCAGCTTGGTTTACTTTTCTTATGGACAGAAAAAGATTCCAGACATCCCTTAACTTAGGCAGCTGTGACGATGTATTGAATCTTTAAGTTATGATTTCATCTAAGTATAAAGTCATCATATGGAAAAGAAGACATTTCAGTGCAAGATTAAATTTATATTGAATTTACAAAGTATCAACAATTGGCTGATACAAAAGAAATTATATTATTGCTTGAAAAACAAGCATAAATTTGTCTCCCTCAGGAAAGAATAATTGTGTTCACTGAACTTGGAGGGACTGTTGAATTGTCAGGAAGAACACTCTGTTTAAATATGGCCTTCATTTTTAAGCTGGCAAAAAACATACAGAGCCTGGCTTCTATTAATTTAACCTTTGTTAAATGTAAACACATAATGCTAAGAGATGCAAATCTTATACTGTATTTACTAAAAGATTTTACGGTCAAGGCAGAAATGCTTATATTGAATAACTGATTTGAACAAAACGTTGTAAATTCATGAATTTCTTTTTGTTCTACCACGATGTAAATATTGGACTTCCAGTCAATTCTAATGGAAACTAACTCACTTTTCTTTTGCTCTCTTCATTTGAACACGTCAAGTGAAAGTCTGCACGACAAAAAAAAGAGCATTGTTTTGCATTGATTGTGACCTCAGTGTGTTCTTAAAAAAGGCAGTTTCTGAATCTTTCATATTCTGTATTTCAAATAAAGAAGGCATGTTCAAGAATATTATTAAGTGCATTTTTCCAGAATCATGCATAAGCACTTCTCTGTTCAGAGTTTATTAAGGAGCTGTGTGTCACAAATATTCCCTTCTAGACTTATTTATCTACAGGTTTGACTGATTTAAAGCAAAGGAGGATGACACTGCAATTTCAAGTGACCGTGTCCTTTCTCAAAACTGAGAGCAAAGTGCCAGCACCAGGATGAGCCAGAGCGAGAGTCCTTTCTGGGCCTCACAAGAACTTTCCCGGAAGCCTCAGGTCCTGCCACACAAGTCTCTCAGTCCCCATGTGTGTTCAGGAAGGCTCCATTTGGCAGCACACAAGGATTCTTCAAAACGTACATGGAAAATGTGTACTGTACAAACACAAACAAAATTATGCATGAATTTCAAACATTTTTACAGCAAAATAAACTGATCTGTATTTTTTCATGAACTTTTTAAAGTACTGTCATGTTTTAATTAGGTTAATGATTCAATGTGAGGCATATCTGCACTATCGTCATTCTAACAGATATCTAGGTCTGGTCTAAGTATATTTGTAGGTTTTTCTTCCTTTAACTAAGCAAGACCAATAAATGAAAGAATTTTATATGTGGTGAAGGCCATGGAGGCAGCATTTGAAAGGGTCTGGAAAACGGAAGTATAAATTCACATTCCACTGTCAGCTAGTTGAATCTGAGTAAGGTAACTGCTCAAGGTTCTCTGCTTCCTCCTTGAGTTCTTGTAGAACTAGCAGTAACCTATGCAAAGTGCTGGCGCATAGTGAACTCTCAGAAAAGGGCAAGTCCTGATTTTGCTGGTCTGTTACTTTTGTGTTTATGGCAGTGATGGATTGTGTTTTGCTCACTATTAATAAGCAAACACCCCAGGCTGTGTAGCCTGGTCCCCTTCCCATGGCCTACACTTGTCCATCTCTGCAGTGGGTGACTGCCCCTAACGTGGGAATGCATAGAGGACACGGTGAGGTTCCTTTGTTACCTTGTTGGGGAGCCCAGCGGATGCTGCTAAACATTCTACAATGCACAGAACAGCCTCCTCCTCCCAGCATAGAGTAATACAGCCCCAAAGGCAATTGTGCTGAGGTTAACAGGCCTTGACCTACCTGATAGACATACCAAATCTAGAGGCAGGGAAACCATAGCAACCATCAGAATATTCACCATAAATTTCAAACAACCCCTGAAGGAAATGAAGGACAGTTTTAGAACAGGCTGCCTGGTAGGTGGGTGTGGGTGGCAGTGTTTGTGATTTATTATTTTTTTCTTTTTTACCAGTACATCGACTCTTGCCTCATATATAGTGTGATAAGGTTGATGTTCTGCACCACTGTCTGAAATAAGTGGTTTCCTTGCCTTATACAAAGGAGACTTTCTGTAATGTCATCCATCTTCAGTTCCCTGAGTTAGAGGTCTTGATACGGTTGTGGGTGCATATCTCAACACCAACCAGACTGGACATTAATGATCGGCACATTCCTCATACTTTGATGCATATGCTTCAGGATATGAAATGCTTATGAAAAATTACTTGATATAATCCAAAGTTGGCTTTCCTTAGGACAGCCTGAAAGTATGAACCTCTTTAGAGTTTGCAGGAATCCTGCTGCTCATTTAAAATAGTTCCATACACTGAAGCGACTGAAGCCATTGCCAGCCATACTTACTTGGGCTGGCCCTCGCAGCCGCACAGCTTTCATTAATGTATGATAGGTTTCAAAATAAAAACCTCACCTATATTTTTGAAAGTCATCACAACTAACTCAGAAAGTCTTATGCTCTTGAATCCAAGCTAGTGATAATATCTTCTGGGTTCTCACTAGATATATGATGGTTTCAAATGATTACAAGAAGCAAAAAGCCAGCCTGGGGAAGGTCTGAGGGCAGAAAGGGGTTAAAGAAAAACAAATGGGGAAAAGAAAAAAGTCTAACACAATCAATATTCTGTTTTCAACACCCTGTCAAGACATAGAGAAAATGCAAAAGTGAAATACTAAATTGATAAAATAATTTGGATATTTTTATACTACTTAGGCAAGTTATTCAAAATGAGATTTTGAAAATCATCCGGAATAAACTTCTCATCTTGTAAAGAAACATGATTTGAGGCAGATGGCAAAGGGCTTGGGTCTGGACAATGGTGGTGGAGGGAGCAGGGTGCAGGTGGGAGGGAGCTGATGGTTCATCCCTTGGTATATTGAGGGTACCTTTGCCACATGTCAAGTACCAGGCTCCTATACCACAAAGACTGTAACATGGTCCCTGCTTGAGCAGATAACAGTCTAGTAAATACATAAATCTGTGCTGAGAGTTGTGGGTGTGTTCCGTTCTGAGAATATTCCCCAGCATTCTCGACGTGGACCTGCATGCTATCCCCATCTTGTATTCACCCAGCTTAGAGTATAGCAGCTACTTGCATTGAAGATCTCTTTCTTCAGGAATAGCTGAGGTTTAGTTAAGTCTTTGTAACTGTGAAAAAGCTTGAAATCCTTTTGTTCTAACTCTTTGAGGAGACTGTACCAGAACCGCACGACACTGCTGTCAGTGCCACTAACCTCAAACCCGGGCCAGTGGAGATGGATCTCAAAGATGAGCTGGCCAATCTGTTCAATGACATTTTCCAGAATGAGATTTTCCAGAACCTTCCATTCTGCACTTTCCAGATCTGCCTTGAGCACATCAATCTGTAACAAAACAATGAGATGATATGAGTGGATTTGACAAATCACTGATAATGCCACCTTGAAATCAGGAGCCTCACACTGTAACCATCTCCACAAAGAAGCAAAACTTGTAAGATTGTAGAGTTGGAGATAATATTCAGGAAGTTGTTTCTGACTTGAATGTCTAACCTCATTCCACTCTGACTGCTACATAGACAAATGGCAGAATGCCAGGCAGAAATCATAATAGTTGCTTGCTTTGGGCCCAGTGGGAATGGATATCCAAGAAATAGAAACTGTGTCATATATGTCACAGAGTCCACAATCTATCTGCTGCTTCAAGTGACACAGCCATGACAGCATGGTGGCCACAGGGAGGGATTCACGGAGGGCTATTGCCCATAGGGGCCTCCTCACAAACCTTATCCCCTCCTACCCCAAATGCAAGGATTGGAAGCCAATGAAACAGTTCTTAAGTATCTGAATATTGGGCTTGTAAAAAAGTTTATTATGCCATGATTTCTTTCAAATGGAGAAAAGCAACACCATCTGCTCATTTAATGAATAAGAGGAGTCTTCAAAAAGTTCATGAAAAATGCATGTGATGAAGAAACCGTGCCTGGATTTCAAAACATTTTTGCACCAAAATAATCTTTCCATTCCACTTTCTATGAACTTACTGAAGTTCCCTTTGCATGTGTCCTCAGCCTAGGTGAGATGGAATACAGGAAAGACTGTAGGAGGGGAGGAAAACTAAGCTGCGATTTAACTGTGAAAATCAGCTGCTTTGGGCTGGTTTTAAACACAATGCATTACAATCGCAGAAGTCTACATTCCCTCAGAAACCCAGGAAAGCTAATCCTTCCCAAGCACTTACCGATGCTTGATACTCTGTTAAGTGTTTTCCCTTACAATACCCATCTAATCCTCTCGACAGTCCTGCGAGGGTGGTTATGTTAGTGTCCCTTGATTAGCGTTTACAGAAAACAGACTCAGTTGTAACCGACCCCTTGCCTTCCTTGTGTGGTAGAACCAGAACACCGTTGCCAGTACCCCTGTTCCTAACCACGATGTGATGTGGCCTCCCCAGTAAGCAGCAAGGAGAATGGTAATTCAGAGTCCCGAGGAAGTTTTGAGTATGGACAATCAGACGCTATTTGGCCAGTGGACAGAAGTCAGCGAGTAGAGTATCGTGAAACATCACTTTACATTTACAGAGTGCTTTTCAGAAGGCATTATTTTCCCACACGGAAGGAAGCCAACAGCATCCACAGAGTGGGAGGACCAGGGTGAAAAGAGCCCGGCGGCCTTGGAGCCTAGGTTGTGGTCCGTGGAGGCAACCGCAGGACCTTAACCGCCGTCGCGAAAGCTGCCTCCTAAAGTCACTAGCACCAAGGCCCACGAAAATGAAAACATCGTTACTTGTTTAGAAGGAGCAGGATAAACACGAGGCCGGTCCTGCCCAGCCGGCCCTTCTTCTCAGTGCACGTTGGTTGGAGCAGTTCCCATGCAAGGCTGCAACATAAGTACAATGGCAACAGCCCTTGTGTGATTTCAAAGAAGAGAAAGTTCATGGGGTGAACACATAATTAGTGCAGGAGTGTGAGTTTGCCCAAAGTCGTGAGATCACATAGGGGATAGTTACTCTCCTAGATGGCCCCTGCAGTCTATCAAAGAAGAGTTATGGTAACAACTCCAAGAATACTCAGACGAGCTATCTGTAGACCAGTCCTTTGGTTCAAGAGTCCCAAAATCAAAGCAAAAAAATCCACAAAAATCTTTCTTTAAAAATAAACTGAGCCAAGGCAGATTCCAATGAACACACACCAGACTAAAATCGTTCTTGTGAATTGCATACAACATAATTAATTCACTGTTTTTTTCTATCTCACTTGCAATGGCACTTCCATGGTTTTATTTAATTTTGGCAGTCTTAAGCAGAATATTCCTGGATGAAGGGTAATTAAGCTGCCAAAGGAAATATTTAATTGAAATCTCATAGAATGTTCTAAATGGTACAAAAAATATCCCAAACTCAAAAATCAGTATTTGCTGTATCAAATCCTACAGCCACGAATTTTTTAGGTTTCTTACAGATTGATTTTTCACTGTGGCTTATGGGTATATGTTCAATGTGATGAATGAATCAAAGCATTAATCAGTTTACAACTGACCTAAAAAACTACACTGGTTAAATATTGGAGAGTCTATTTATTTTTCCAAGCATATTTATAAATAAACAGGAGGTAAGAATAACTGGCCGAGAACTAAATTCTTAGATGCAATCACAGCAAATATATTCTGCATGTAGAAGTCCACTGGCTTGTGTCCTGGCTGCCCCATTTCCCATCCAGCTCCCTGCTTTTGCCTGGAAAAGTAGTGGTTAATGGTCAAGTTCTTGGGTGCCTGTACCCATGTGGGAAATCCAGAGAAAACTCCTGGCTCCTGGCTTCAGATCAGCTCAGCTCTGGCCTTTGCAGCCATTTAGGTAGTGAACCAGCAGATGGAAGATCTCTCTCAGTCTTTCCTGTCTGTAACTCACCCACCCTTCCTTCCTTCTGCCTTTCTCCTCCCCCCCCCCACCCCTGCTCCCTTTCTCTCTCTGTCTTTTTCTTTCTTTCTGGAAGTACAGTGGCTGAATAGACAACTAAACAAAACTCACCTCACCAGTACAGATGTACAAAGACTGAAAGCGAATGAATGGGTATCCAGCATTATGGTTCAATTGGCTAATCCTCCCCCTGCAAGCACTGGGATCCCATGTGGGTGTGGGTTTGTGTTCCGGCTGCTCCACTTCCTATCCAGCTCCCAGCTTGTGGCCTGGGAAAACAGTCTAAGATAATCCAATGCCTTTGGACCCTGTGACCACGTGGGAGACTCATAGGAAACAGCTTGTAGCTTTGGATTAGCTCAGCTCTGGCTGTTTCAGTCATTTGGGGGAGTGAACAAGTGGATGCAAGATCTTTCTCTCTGTCTCTCCTTTTATATGTAAATCTTCCTTTCCAATAAATGCTTAAAGCAAGGAGGAGTGGTTAGAGTAGACAATTTGATTCAAAAGCCATATAAAACAACAAAGATCACTGCATAATGAACAAAGGATCAAGTTAATATGAGACAATGATGATGTAAATATTTATCCATCCAACATTGGAACACTCAGTTATTTAAAATAAACATCATTTATTTAAAATAAACATCATTGTATGCACGATAGTGTAGTGGTTAAAGTGCTCGCCTTGCACACGCCAGGATCCCATATGGGCGCCGGTTCTAATCCCGGCATCCCCGCTTTCCATCCAGCTCCCTGCTTGTGGTCCGGGAAAGCAGTCGAGGACAGCCCAAAGCCTTGGGATCCTGCACCCGCATGGGAGACCCAAAAGAGCTCCTGGCTCCTGGTCACTTGGGAAGTAAATCATCGGATGGAAGATCTTCCTCTCTGCCTCTCCTCCTCTCTGTATATCTGACTTTCCAATAAAAACAAATAAATCTTTAAAAAGAATCATTATATGTAAAGAAGACAGAGACTCAAATGCATTAAAATTGTTGGTGATGTCAACATTCCACTTACATCAGGGTACATATCATGGAGACAAAAAGAACAAAGAAGAGCTGACATTGTGTCACAGTGGGTTAAACCACCAATTTAATGCTAATAGAGAGTTGCTTCAATCCCAGGTGTTCCACTTCTGGTTCTGCTTCCTGCTAAAGTACCTCAGAAGGTAACAGAAAATGGTCCAAGTGCTTGAGGTCAGCCTGAGGTATCCTGTTTACCTGCACCACCAAGCAAAGTCCTTCTTCGTTCAGTGTTGATTTCAAAAGAGAAAACAACAGATACTCGGTGCTTACTTCTTTTCTTTATAAGGTCGGTGCGTCTCCATCCTCTGCAAAGTCTCTGCTGCCTTCCATGGTACTCCAGCTCTGTCTCAAGCATGCCTGAGTCACTGCTTCTTCCTTGTTTCGGTCTTCATTGTTCAGGAAGTACATAGACACCCCTAGTCATCTATCTTGGTGATGTCACCCTCAAGCCTGATTTTTTTAAATTATTTTTTTTAAATAATGATCTTTATTTTTGATGATTTTTACATAGTTGATTAGGATATAAGGGTCAAGGGCTACAGGAAGGTGGGTGAGACCATTATTTCCACATTCTCTCTTCTTTCCTTCTTGCATCTGGGGAAAGGGGAGATAAGGGGAGAAGCCACATCCAGTCTCCCAAACGCCTCTGTATCCTGGGATGGAAGACAGCCACCTGACACCACCCCAAGGTCCCTGAAGTGGGGCATGCTCCAAGGGTCCTGCTCAAGAGGTTTTAATAGTTCAACAGTTCTGGATTACTGCCGATCTTGTAACTCCAAGCACGATGAAATCTCTCCAGAATCCACTGGTTGACACAGTCTACCTTAGAGTCTCTGTTTGCCCAGATGCTCACTGCCAACACTTGGTGGTGTAGTTGATCAATTTGTTTTGTCCCCCAACCTCTGTTATGATACCAGGTGATTTCTGAAGACTCCAATGTACTGCCATACCCTCCATGTGCACCTGGATATGCTGTCCACCAAGGAGGCCCAGCTCTGATACATGCACTCCACAGTCAGACCATGGAACCTGTAATTCTTTCTATGGTTGGGGTTCTGAGTCCAGCGATTCAACTGGGGGGAATCCCCAAAAGAAACTGCGTCTGAGGTGATCCCAAGACCTGAGTGTGTGCTTGCCATTACAGGGTCTGGCACGGTCCATCACCACAATCAGCTTATGCACATACTGGAAGTTGAAATTGCTTGGTTAGTTCTGTCTCCAGCCCTGTCTTCTACACAAACCAATGGGTGTTGCAGCCCATTCCAATCCTACCACACACCTGGCTCTCACACTAACCAGTGGGAATAGTAGCCTAGCAGGGTAATCCACAATAACCCCCATCAGGCCTGCTCCCTGCCCTAGTTCCCGTGCTTGCCAGTATGTACAGCAGACTGGTCCAGTCTGTCCCATATCTGATTCAGTTCTCATAGATGCCAATGGGCATT